ACCATACCATTACTCTCCCCTTGCCACACAGAACAATAGAAATCTTCAAACCTTCTTATAGAGATCTACTATGGAGTGGGCTTAATACATAGATGTTTCAGTGCTCTGCCCTTTCTGGTCTTTATCTCAGTGATGAAGATGTTGTGCAGAGAATTGTAAAAGTTTATTAAGTTACTTTAGGAGTACACTTACTGTGCAGTAGGTTAAGTATAATGTAATAGCTGGATGCCAAATATTTCTATATTTCAGTATCTTTTTCCAAGTAGAATGTCTTAGGGTCATCATGGTAGGGTTTCATGTTTTGACACCAATTTGAGACTCATAATTTATCTGATGATAAATTATAAGTGTTTATTTTGAAGGTTGTTCAAACTATGGTCTATTGCTTTCCAATTTATTTATTTAATAAACTGGCAAAATATGATTAATTTATCTAAGGTTTTTTCCCTAACAAAGGCTTTGAAATTTCTCCACTTTGAAAACTCAATTATAGAATGCTATCTTTATGCAAATGAGAGAAACATACATTCTGAGTATTTGTCTAAGTTTTAAAGTCTAATATTAGAATTATATGAACATAGTGTTTGCATGAAAAATCACACTTGTTTATGATACCAAATACAAAGCAGTAGCACAGTGTGACAAAATTCAGATAAGAATGTGACTGGGAAAATATTTTTTTAAATAGGTAAAGACAATAGAATAGACCTTCATTATTTATTTATTTATGAATCTTCAAGCATATTATAGGTGTTGTAATACTGTTATCCATTCAAGAATATACATGGTGGTGGCTAAGTTAACTAACATAAAATGGTACTGACAGGACAAGATATCTGCTCATAGAGATATATTGAAGTGCATGGGGAACACTAAGTTGGGAAAAACTGACTTCTTGGGATGAAGATAAGATTCCCAAAGTTTTATTGAGGACTTTATCTGGGAATACTGGGCATTTATAGAACACACAGGCAGGGTAGTGCATTCTAAATTTGGCCATATGGGGCACCATGAATTTTTTGAGGAAGTCAAACAGGCAAAAATTACGAGTGGCAGAGCTGATTTTTATAAAAGCATAAGAAGAATAGAGTAAGGATGACTCAGAAATCTTTGTTTTGATTTTAATCTAGGGAGAGTTGTTGGTGCATAGTAAAGCAAGAAAATAGCATGGAGAGAAGCATTTTCCAATATTGTAGAAGAAGGATTTGGAGAAGCATAGAAACAGGTTTCTGAGACAGAATATGGGGTCTCATCCATATTCTAAGTCTCATCCATATTCTAAGCATCTCATGTGCAACTCACATACTGTTTAAGAAGTAAGGAAATCCCTGGGTCCCAGATGATATTGGTCCAAAAGGACTAGGTAAGCACACAGGGTTTCTGGGTACCATCTGATTGTATCTAGAAGTGGTAGGAGAACATATCCAGGGAACTATTATCTGGGAGCATCCAACATGTGTTAGCAAATATCTTGTAAATTACATGATCTTATTTAGCTTTTACAACAACATATGGTGTAAAATAGTCTCTCAAAATCAAATGCTGCTATACTAAATTCCAGAGAGGTGAGTTAATTGCCCAAAATGATACCACTGGAAGAAGCAGAGAAGAAATATGAAACTGCCTGCCTGGTATTACAGCTTATACTCTTTCTGTAGAATTTCATACCTCAAATGGCATCTTTTTGGCTGGATATATAGTAGTGAGATGACCATTTCAAAACTTTAGCACCTACCTCTCAGGGAGAAGGCTTTGGGGTGTGATTCTGAGCTTACCTCCTCTCTGATTTTATGGGAAAGAGGCATCAGAGAAGTCATAAGGCGAGTGAATATACCTCTTTGAGGCTAGAATGGGCCAGTCTTTAACAGAGGCCATGGTGCTGAAGAGAAGACCATAGATACCACAGATTCTGCATGCAGAACCTAGAGGATATGGTGACTCTTTATTAAAAGATGATATTAAAGAGAGGCACGAAATGACTTATGGCATGAGAGACTGGATAAAAAAGGAATCATCAAGCAACATATAAAATATGAAAGGAGGAACAAGCTTCTTGATCAGGAGATTAAATCTGACAGTAGCTCAATTCTTATATTTCTAGCAAGTAACTAGTTGCAGGTCTAGTCAAAAGACAATGTAGTGGACAATAAAATTCATTATCAACAAAATCAGCATAATAACTCTGGGGATTAGTATTCAGGATCTTTTAAGTGTACCAAATACAACTTTAAGTTCTGAAACTGACACTATTTTTCTGGTGAGAGATGTGTGAATCACACTGGAGAGTTCATTTATTATAGCTACTGTCTAAAAATTTGTTAGGGCAAATAAAAGACTGTGAAGGAGTGAAATAGCAGGTTTGTTACTGTGATGATTTTATGTGCTTTGGCTACTGTGCCATTTGAAAAAAAATATGACATAATCATACTTATCACTGGCATTCAGTCTGAATATCAATTTTGGCTAGGAAAGAAAAGATATCATATAGGTTCCCAAGTATAAAAATTTGGAAAGTACAAAGAGTGGTTGGAGTAGTTGCTTATAACATAAACAAAAATACATTTCTTTGCTTTCTTTTTGAGAATTTTCATTTTTATAAACTTGAGTTGAAAGTAGATAGAATTATTTCTTTGGCTCAATTTGACAATTTTGCCTCTCTGAAGGCAAATGTAATGCCAAGAATGTGTTTCAAAAACAGAGAATGTGTTTGTGAAAACACTTATGCACATGTCCCAATTCAGCATTGCTGTTGGTTAGGTGCAGCAGTTGATCTGATTTTCCAACAATCTGAGGCCTATTTCTATTCAAGAATTTATAACATGGCTGTGAATTCACTCATTCACCATTATGATTGAGTGTCAGTGATATGCCAGGCACTATGTTAGCTTCAGACCTGGGAATGAAGCAAAAAAAAAAGTTTGTTCTTAATAGGAAAAGAGAAAATAAATAAATAAATACATAAATAAATAAATAGCATAATAATTTCTAGGAGGGAAATATGCTATGGAAAATGGTAAGTCTGCTTTATATAGATAAAATAATGGCCATGGATCCAATAATGTGGCATTTTATGGAGCATAATAAGGGACATGTGTGGAGTAGCTCCAACAGGGTTTGCTGATGAATTGAGCAGAGAGGACAGGAATGATACCCATATTTTTGGCTTAAGCAACCAGGGGTTTAATGACACTATTATAAAAATAGGGATGAGTTAGGGAGAAACAACTTTAGATGGAACATGGAGTTGACTTGGTACCTATTTATTGTGAGATGATTAGGCACACAAAAGAAGTTTTACATGCTATTTGATACTCAAATCAAGAAGTTATGGAGGGCTGACCATAGTGGCATACACCTGTAATCCTAGCAGCTCTGGAGGCTGAGGCAGGAGGATTGCAAGTTCAAAGCCAGCCTCAGCAAAAGTGAGGTGCTAGGCAACTCAGTGAAACTCTGTCTCTAAATAAAATACAAAGTACAGCTTGCGTTGTGGTTTAGTGGTTGAATGCCCCTGAGTTAAATCCCTGGTAAACTCCGCCCCCCCAAAAAATGTCACGGAGAATTCTGCTATATAGCTATAAATCTGAAAGACTTTTGCATATGAAATTTTTTAAAAGTCATGTGGCCAGTTGAGAAAACCTCAGTTTGGACAGAGGAGAGAGAGTTGAAGACAGATTCCTAAAGTATTCCAATATCTGGAAGTCTTGAAAAGGAAGATGATCTGCAAAGTAGACTGCATGGATGAAAGGATCTTGAATCAGAAACTATTGCATTTTCTACTGTAATTGCATTTTCTATTATAATATGAAAATGAACTTTTAAAAGGAATCCTGAGGAGAATGTGACCACCGGAGTTCTCTAAATCTAATATACAGAATTTAAAAAGTAGTACAAACTGTTGAAAATATTTGCCATAGCACATAATAACCATCCATTTAATTAAAAACCACTTATTAAACAGATACTTCTAGCTTAACATGTAACTATAACTTCCATGATGTTGTATGTCATTCCATCTCTTCAAAAGATTAAGATACATACATGTAACAACACGACTATCCTAAGTTTGTATTGATCTTCTATATAAAAATGAGCACTTATATAAAACAAAATTTTCCAAAACTTCCTTACCAAGATAACTGAGTAAGCTTTGGAATGATAAGTATTATTACCAGCGTTTTGCATAATAAGCATAGTGGATCGAAAGAGGTTAATTCACTTGACTAATTAATATCCAGCTAGGACCTAAGCAGAAACTGTAAGACTCCTGATCCATTGCTCTTCCCAAGATCAGCATTTATTATGTAATTTGATTGCTTATGTAGACCTAGAATCAGAGACAATGTGTATGGGTTGCATAGGTTATGCATTGCATGGATAAGCTATTAAAGTCTCCCTCAGTCTGGCAGTTTGCAACCTGAGCAACATAAGTAGTGATTGTGTTTAAAGCAATATTCTACTTCAAATATCCTAGAGATTTGGAAAGATGAGAACTAAAATTCATTGTTCATCCTTTCATGGCAAATCATCATCTTTCCAAATAATGAAAAAAAAACCATCTGGATTTTTACAATAATGATTGTTATTGATAAGATTGTTAAATTCAAAGGGTAGATTTTCTTTCTGACATAATATTTTATGTGTTTTTTAATTTTCTATATACATTTCCCTTAATGTACTCTTTTCTTAATTTATGTGCACTCAACTCAATGTTGCCTTAATAATTTTCCAAGTTTCTATTCTGTTTTCTTCCAGTAGGCTTCTAGAGTCACCCTTTCTTTCGCCTTTAACCTTAACCCTTCACATTTTCACTGTTGGCCTCAGGAAACCAGCTCATCAATGGCATTGCCCTTTCCTGCAAACAATAATACTCATGCTGACTTTCACCACTACAATGCCACTTTTGCTTTCACCTCTTTGATTCAGTGCGTTTTTTTTTTTTTTCATTTTCTCACCAATGCTCAACTAGCTGTTCTTTGTGGTTTGGATCTGAGAATGCTCACCATATTGTGATGGTTTGGATTGCTGGTTTCCATCATTACTCCACCTCTTCATGTTCCTGTTCTGATGAGAAGCTAGTGAAAGGCTCACAGTCCAATTCAATGTCTCTTCAGTCCCTCCTTTAAAAAAATGAAACAAATTATTTATTTTCTATTCTGAAATTCTGCCAGCCTTGACCATCTTAGCTCTGATCTTCTGAAACAATTGTTTCACTTCCTTCTTCCTTCCCCACCAATAACCACTTTAAAAATAAACAAATCATCAATTTAGAAGTCAAAGAAAAGAAAAAGATTTGTATGTGTGTATATGTTAGTCATTGGATATTTGACTTGTTCTTTTTGTAATTAATATTTGTCATTATCTAGAAGACATTTGATTAGATAATCAATTAGAGAATTGGTATCATATTTAATCATGAGATGTGAGAGATTTAATTGTGCTCTTTCACTTAAATTTTTTTTTTAGTTGTAGATGGACACAATTCCTTTATTTTAATTATTTAAAACTTTTTAGTTATAGGTGGACATAATATCTTTATTTTATTTTTATGTAGTGCTGAGGACCGAACCCAGTGCTTCATGTGTGCTAGGTAAGTGCTCTACCATTGAGCTACAACTCCAGCCCTTAACCTCTTTCTTAAGATACTGTCTACATAGAGAAGTAGGATTAGAGTCATCCAATAACTGAAAAGACAATATCTAACATTTTTGGATTTTAGGCATGATGGGAAAATTCTATTTCTAAAAGGGGAGGGACTTCAAATCACAATGACATATTATATTCCACATTTTCTGGGATTAAGGGTACAGTATCATAAGATAACTGGATGTATCAACTTAGTTTCAATTTATCATGGAAAAACAACACTAATAAACTGATGACATTGACTTTTTATTTCAGAGACTTGAGATGAGGCTCAAAAGAGAGAGTACACTAGGAAGTAGTTTAGAAAATATAAAGATTCACACATGCAACTTATGGGTTCTTGGAAATCTTTATACTGGCATTGAATAAAACCAACAATGCAGAAAATCTATGGATCTTAAAATACAAAAAGTTCCACATAGAATTTAATTTTATTTGTGTGTAACAAAAACATAAATCATCCAGTATTTAGTAGAGCTAGGCAGGAATAAAATATTAGATAAAATGATAATAAGAATTACCAAATATTACCAGAATTGGTTTATTCACTGTCAATTTTATTATTTGTCTAAATCACTTAGGAAATCAATGAATACTATTTTCAACTGGAAAATAATTATTTGATTTGACAAGGTCAAGAATGTACACTGACATTTGATTTTGTCATATTTAGTTATAAATCGAGTTAAATTTGAAATTGATTTACTTGAATTAACATTCAAATAGTCACAAAAATCTTTACCAAATGTAAACAAATGTAAGATATACTGAATCTGTGTATCTTATCTATATTATTTTATGTTCATTCCTTTCCTTTTAAGAGAGAAATGAGTAATGGTAGTTATGACAATTTTGTGAAATTGATTTTAATCAATTATACTAATATTACCTCTTAAACTTATTACTTTTCATATGTAAACGTTTTAAAAATATATTCATTTTGTGAAGTGCTATTGAATAATTACTTTAAAACAACTTACTTCCTAATATGTAATTGGACGTTTGATGTATGAGGCCATCCTGCTGAATATTTCTCAGTGTCTCAGAGTGGACATTTTCCTCTGTTCTGTATGTGAGTATAAATCACATTAAAGCTGTCCATGATTTAAGAAAATAGAGCTTTTGCAATCTTTACCCATATCTATCTGTTTCATTTTTGTCTATCAGATTTTAAAATTTTGACTGGCTCATAATTACTCCTTCACATGTAGTATAAATTGTTTCTATTTCTTAAAACAAACAAAGAAACATATCTACACAGAAGTGCAAAAATGTAGAATGTTTAAATTAATCATCAATACTATATTTACCATTGCATTTTCATTGCAACATGCTCAATAAATTTAAGATTTAAGTTTCTAACTTTCAATATATTTTTTTCCCTCATTTTGCTCAAGTCTAGAGTTTGTTAACAGTATCCACACATTTTGATGGGAATATTAATGAATATTAAATTTCATTTTGAGGAAATGTATAAAATTTAAAAATATGTTTGTTTCTACAAGCAATGATTTTTATTATCATGTACATTGAAACTTCATAATGTTGTATGTTAACGTAATGGAGATACTGGTCAATTATAAAGTTTGTTCATTAATAATTCATATTTCCCAATATTAATACTCTATAGTAATTTACCAAATTTCAGCATAAATATAAATAAAAGCAAAAGAAGGATTTTTAAAAAGAAATATCGTAATGCTGATTTTTAAAGGATTTTAAAAAAGAGAAAATAATAGGTAGGTTCAGCTAATTTGAGGTTCAGCTAATATTTTAGCATTTTTCCATGACCATAGACAAACACATAAACTTGATGAAAAATAAAAATATTTATAAAAATAAGCCACCAATAAATAAATAAAAGATAAAAATATTGGCACAAAGAGAAAGCATTCAAGAATGAAGCAAAAAAAAAATCATACAATTTTATACCAGTAACTAAAATACTTATATGGGTGTCAGGTTGTGGGAAAAGAAACATAGCCATCCAAATTTACAGTGACAATGGATAAGATTCCGTAAAAAAAGCAATTTGGCAGTAAATAATGCACCCTCAAAACATTCATATCATTAGATCAGTAATTATATTGCTGGATATTTATCATAAAGAAATAAAAAAACACTATGCACCTAAGACAATTCACTGAGCTTTTTATGATAATAAAAATCTGGAGGTAAACTCTGTGGTTCTATATGTAACAGAAAGTGAAAGGACATTTTTCCTGGAATTTTGAGCTAAAGCTTAAGACAGAAAGGAACAAGTTTCCAATATAAGTTTATAAATCCACATGAAGTGTTAATGTTTAAGGTTGGATAAATTCCTGCAGAGGTTAAAGAAGGGCTTGCAAAGTCATCCAGACACTCCATCCTCTTCCTTCCTGGACTCAGGGTATACATATTTAAATATTTTTTTGGTTGTCAATGGACCTTTATTTATATTCAGTACTAAGAATCAAACCCAGTGCCTCACACATGCTAGGCAAGCGCTCTACCACTGAGCTAAAATACCAGCCCCCACTCATCTTTTTTAAGATATTTTTTCAGTTGTTGATCAGGGTGAAGAATTTAAAGAGGCATTTGCACACATCCAAGGGTAAATACAAGCCTCCCTAAGTTTTGTGCTCCAGATTTCTTTCCCATCCTTTATACTTGATGGTATGCCTGTGGGATACACAAACTGATGAAAGCATAGTAGGAAAGAGGCAGGGATAGGAAGGCAGGGTAAGGATGATGGTATGAGAGGAGTGGTAGTGGAAGGCCACTGTTTGGCATGGAGGAGTTGCAGATCGCCTGTGAATTGGTCTCCTAGGAAGACAATTAGATTTGAGTCATCATCTTCTACCAATCCTTTTGGTCTTTTTATTACTGGTGTTGCTTTACTTTTTAAACCACCTTCCAGATGGGGTACTTGGCAATTTGGCTCAAATGCATGTATTTTCTGGTTTTCAATGGACATGTAGGAAATATGAAACCTTGCCATGATAAAATGTGAGCCTACAACTCCTCCACTGTCCCCCTTCCTTTCACCCCATCCCTTTGTCATGAATGACAGTGGTCACTTAGTGTCCATGGAGGATTTGTTCCAGGAGCCCAGAAGATGCCCAAATCCATGGATGCTCAAATTCCTTATGCAAATGCTGTAGTGTTTGCATATAATCTATGCAGAACCTCCCATACCCTTTAAATCATCTTTAGATTACTTATAAATGTTCTGTAAACAATTGTTATACTATATTGTTTATGGAATAATGATGAAAAATCTGTACATGTTTAATATATATACAATTTTTTTCTGAATATTTTTGCTCCCTCGTTGGTTGAGTCTATGATGTCACACCCACGGACATGGAGGAGCCAGTTGTATTTTTAATGTTCTATCAGAAACTCTGGTTTCTAAACCTATTTGAATAAATAATGTGAATAATGGAAAAACAACATGAACTTTTTGTCATATGTAAGTATGCATTTTGAACAATTATTTCAAGGTTTTGTGATTCATTTGGAGGGTCACTTTAAATCTTGGCCAATATCTCTGTTAAGAGCTTTTGAAACAAGAAGGAAATAATATGTGCAGAATTCCCCAGAGTTACACTGCATTTGTGGATTTCTTTAGAACAACAAAGAATAAATCACAAGAATTCTTGTTTTCCTTCTTAATAATGATGCCTTTTGGGGACACTGGAAAAGCACAGTGCCATTTCTGAAGGTTATCAGAGAGTTTCCATGGAATTCGTGCTTGTCAATTCCATCTCTGACAAAGAGTGTCTTTCTACTAACTCTCCTGACTTTGACAGAACTGTGCTTTATATAGCACAGCTTCATCAGCAACATGAGCAATAGTACTGAGGCGGCATCTGTAAAACCAATGAATGATGAGTGAAAACTTTGACATACATTTAAAACACCCCAGTAGTCTTATCATTTGTTTTTAGCTTTTTAAATTTAAACTTCCCTTATGTCACTTGGAGAACAGGCATGTGAAAGATTGCCAGCAACAGAGGTCAAGTTACTTTCCAGCAGTGCATCTCATTTGTAACATTCAATACTGTGCAGAATGCCAAAATCATTGCTTAGTTCAAATTCAGAACAATAATGAAAGGCCAGAGCTCTCAGCAATGCAACAAGTGTAGCATTCCCAACTGGTATGGTTGCAAGAACTAATAAATAATGTTTTCTAGCTAAATGTATATCATTATGTGTAGGAATTTTGCAATGGGAATGGTAAGGACAACTGCTTGATTTTTTTAAATTGCATGTCAATTTTTTATTCCTTCCTATCCTGTTTATAACCATTCAGTAAGTCACTATCAATGTTAAGATGCTTTTTACTATTTGTGTACAATGACACATTATATACTATACAGAGAGATACATCAAATCGAGTAATAATGATATAACTAAGATGATTCAAAAAGCTATGATGAAGGAAGTCACTATATCTCTTCCTTGATAATATTCAAATGAAGGGCTACTG